TAGGAAAATTAAGTTGCGGTTAGCGCAACAGAGTTTTCCTTCTTCCTAGCAGCCATTTGTGGTCTGAGAACACGCTACTAACCATCCTAATTTTTGTTTTATTCAGTCTTGATTGCTGGAAACTTTCTTCATCTATGCGGACAGAGATACACCATCGTCCCTCAAAACCAGCTGCGCAGGCAGATTGAACAGACCTTCGCATATGAACAGAAAACCTACGTGAAGAGGTTTACAGGGTTGATTAAGTCTGAAGTTAATCGTTTACACAAAATAGACATAGACATACCATCATGGAGAACTGCAGTTTTCATAGCATGTGGAGAGCTGTAAAGACGTGTGTGTGTGTGGAGGTAGCAATAAACGCAAAGGGAAAAACTGTTGATAGTGAAAAACGCAATTATGAGCTGAGTACAGTCACAGAGTATACAGATCTATCCCGCTTCCACAACTCCATGTCACCACCAATTATCCAGTTCGTTACGGTCTTCCGACAGCTGCAGAAAACTAGGATGAATGAAGCTACTGGCCCGGATAAACTGTCACCCGCGGTACGCGAGGTATGTGCGGATACCGTTTCAGTTCCACTATCTAACATATTCAATGACTGATCAGTGGAAAAATTCCTGACAATTGAAGACCGGTCAAGATAATTCCCGTCCCCTCCCCAAAGAAAGCTGGGAAGTACCGCCCCATCGTGTGCATGCCAGTCATGCTTATGAGAGAAGCTTGCTGCTGTAGGTTGTCACTGAATCTGCCGATGAGGACGTTTGTGCTCCATACTTGATACCGTTGCGCTTATCTTGTTCAATCAATAAATTCAGCCCTGGACAGAAGGTGTAAGACTATCAGAATGGAGTTCAGTGACTGCAAAAAAACGCATTCAGCAGTCTTGAATGCCTCGATATTGCTTAATCGGAATACCGAAAGTGGTGTTAATCCAAATGTCTTCAGCTTAATCAGCGATTATTTCATAGATAGAAGACATTTCACGGGCCTGAATGGCAAATCTTCTACTGTCTCCGTTGTCTCTGGTGTTCTGCAAGGTGTAGTTTTCTCCGTTTTTATTTTCAATCTACGGCAAACAATTCCCCATTGCTTTCACATTCATTGGNTCATTGGCTGAAAATACGCGGAAGACACTGTTTTAGGATGCGAAGCGCCCATCTTTGAAGAGGTTTCACTAATGCAAAGCAAGCTAAACGAAATGGTTCCTGTCCCATTCACTTTCATTGAAAGCTTCGAAGCGTCAGGATGTCGTGTGTTCCATGTTAGATGACGGACCATATACAGCTCTCGCAAATAGGTTCCCCTACCTTTGTGCTATTGAGGAATCCATACTAACACTAACAAGGGTAAGATATCTTGGCGTCATATGAACACAATTTGCCATGCCCTTTGCACGTTCAAGAGAAACATACTGTTTATTCAGAAAGCTGTGATCTTTTTCACTCCGATTAAGAATACTTTTTGGTCCCCACAAGTTGATTGTTAAATTCGTGAACGCAGTGATTTTTCCCGGTGTGCTGAAAAAATACTTTCTCTTATTGGCAAAGACCTTAAAACACATATTTAAATGCAATGACATCGATAGAGACACACTTGAGGACTCTAGCACTGGCAGACACTTGGAGGCATGGAGAAATTTCGTCCTGAAACACTCTCAAACATGCATCATCCATTACACAACGAACTTTCACAAGCTGCATTTACGTCATTCACAAGCTCAATGTTCAAACTTGTATTGGCCCGTACCTCTTCGAATCGTAACTCTGTTTTGCACATCCGCTTGTTGATAAACAGGAAGTTCACATGGAATTACTTAATTTATCGGCAAAGCCGATGACTGATCATTTAAATTTCATTTTGCCTGGTTTCGCAAATTTGCATTCTCAACCATGGTATAAAATACCAAAAGTTCGCTCGTCCGGGTGCACAAAATTACTAACGACTGAAAAAAGTGGACTATAATAGCGACCAATTAACACAATCCATTCCACGATGAAAAACTACTGAATCTAGGAATATGGGAACCGATGTGCGCACCCCTCCTCTTTGTCTATAATCCACAGATAAAGTGAAGGCTAGGTAGGGAAACCGATGCACAGAGCAGAGACAACTCTCTATCCGATCTGGAAATCGGTTGCCTGAAGTTATTGAAGGACATGAGAATGAACAGGAAACAGCGGTACATACTCTGATTGGCATTTCTTCCTCGATCAAGCTGTGCATTTGACGTATTGATTCCGAGTGTGACCCTTCCCTCTGACCATCCACAAAGACTAGCTTCTAACTCAATGGTTGACCGTCTCGAAAAACTTCACGATTAAACTTGTTGGTCTGTCTGTCTGTCTGGCATGAACGATGCACGTAAGACAATCAGGTCGAGGATGATTCAACCAGATCAACTTCTGAGAAATTCGGATACACAGGCATTCCTTTTGCAAACTCACAATTACAATTTTTCTTCACCTTCGAGGGATATTCAGCTTGATCAACCACACACTGCTCTAGGATCGCTTTTCCTCGAAGTATGTGCCGGAGGACCTTAGCTGTTTTTTTAAATTCCCGCTTACGAATAGCCGAAGCTATGCTGGAGCTTACAGCTTTTTCGCACGACTTCACCACAACAAGCGATGTTCTTCGGCGCTTGAAAACGGTCGGGCAAATGAACTTCACAATACTTTTCTATTTCGAAGACGAGTTGCTTTAATTTCACAGCTGCATGCACAATTTTAATCGATCATTCACGCAGTCAAAATATAAAACACATCATTAAGTGGTTCTCGATCGCATAGGTACAGAGAAATACATGACCTGCATAGATTTTTTCGATGAATAACAAGGCACTCCGATTAAAACGCCACCATATAGGTGAATGCATTCACAAACTGTCACGGTAGGAGACACTTACTTTCTTTCAGACCCGGTACAACCCAACTCCCGTACATACTAAACATGCCGGCCACCGTCAGATTCAATTTCTGATCCCAACCGATTGTCCAAGCCTTCCATCGGGTTGCGTGTTGTCGAAGCCAACGACAGGCAATATCACGATAGACCAGATCACGTGATTTATCATTCTGTTGCTCTTCCAGCGTCATGGAACCAATGGCCTGACCTGCCTGAAATCCCATAAAAAGTGGGATAAGAAAAATTAATCTGTTGTGATTGGTTGATATGAACTCAGCACTCCTTCTCCTCCTCCACCACCACCAGCACCACCATCATTACCAGCAACAACAACAACAAAAAGGGGGCAATGAATTATTGACATTGCTATCTCTCGATCAGAATTCAGACGACCGACATGTCGCATTCGAGTGAACCCCCTACATTCAATCAATTACTTTGATTAAGGATCAGTGTTTTCAGTTTTCCCAACCATTAACAATACATTTTCATGCGTCGGTGTTGATTGCTGTCTTTTGGCTGACCATTCGGATAAAACAGCACAATGAAGATTGGACTGTTGAAAGCGAATTCAGGCGCTAGATGGAGAATTCATTCGGACTGGGGTTGAAAGAATAATGAGTAGATGCACGAGCACCACCCAGCCATATCGTTCAGTGTCTAACCACCGGTTATCACGAAGTTCGAGTCTTCAACCAGCGTAATCTATGAAAATCGACCACTTGCTCCAGTGGACTCTCCGTCTAACCTCAGCATTGCTTATCCGGTTTCCCCACCAGACTCATGCAATGCGGCGTAGACAGCGGTGCTCGAACATCGACGATCTATTTTTATTAGGACCAGTGTATAGCTACGAACATTGCCCTATGTGAACGGAAGACCGATGGCGATTCTCACTCACTCTTTTAATCACTGAACAAACCTGTAGCCATCTTTGCCAAGTGATTGTGCCTGACTGTCGCATTTCTACCACCCAATCATAGCTTTCCTTTCGACGTAAATGCACGCACAAGTTTTCCAACAATCATCAAACTGGTTTTGACATATGATTTCTATTATTGAGTAATGTCTATCATACAGAGCAAAAGATTTTTCTGCCCGGATTCCAAAACGGGACAACCAGTTTTAGCTTCCTTTTTTATCGAAAATACAACTCTACCAGCCATTGTTTTACGAGGGGGAAGAGCGATTAATCAAAGGATTACTGCGTGACAAAGGAAAAGTTAGGTAATGGTGGCAAGATTCAATCACTTCATCTCTAGATGACGACCACTACCCGTAGTTTCAAGGTCACAGCCCTGGAAACCGTCCGATGAAACGAAACTCCGTTCCTGAAAACTAGCGTCGTCTGTGGTTTATTAGCCTTCGTGTATAGATTTATAGCTTCGTCGTCGTCAACTTTTTCGCTCAGTGAAACCATTTATATATATATATATATATATATATGTATATATCACCGGCTTGAAAACAAGTATGGTGCCAATACCACAACAATATTAACAATAACGCGGGAGGGGGGGTTGGGATGCAGAGTATAGGGAAAAATACGTAACTGTCCCAATAGAAGATGACGAATAAGTGGAATAACAATTTTTGTGTTTCACCGTACACTTTTTTGA